TCCCTGCTGTGGGGTTTCTCGGTGCGTCCTTTAGTGATGCAGGGAGCCACGGAGAGGTCACTGCTTTCAGCACACTGCACTGGTCACTGATAATCCGTTTAAAAAACCAAAGGCTTGGCCCACACTGGCAAACCAGTCTGCTGAGAGCAGCAGGAGATGTTATGGCCCACTGGCAGGATCAGCTAAAATAATACCTTCCTTGGAAGGATGAGCAAAAGGTTATGTAAGAACACAGAAACCAGGGCCCTCCCTGGTGGCGCAACAGGTTAAAGCACAGCACTATGAAGCGATCTGCAGCCACCACAGCCACTGCAGCATGGAGTTCGATTCCCCACTCGGTAGTGACCCCAGGGCGCGGCAGACCTCTGCTGACCCACCGGCTGCTCCCTCAGCAGTGTGTTTCAGTACATCTGCCTATTCTGTTCCCCACGCTGTCTCTGGTGAATCTTCTTATCCCACCGTCTCTGGCCTGTATCCCAGTTCCATAAGCATAAGTAAATAAATATTAAAAAAAAAAAAGAATACAGACCAGATATAATAAGCTTTACCCAGCAGCAACAACGGAGCTCCCCAGGCAATCGCCAGTGGGCACTGGCTTCCCCGGTAACTCACTCCCAGGCATGCTCACGCCCTACTGCTTGCCCGCCTTGGTGCTTGACTCTTAAGTCACTGCCAATGCTTGTGGAGGGGACCTGTGACTGCCCGGTGGCCCCTCAGGCTGGTTATTGCTCCAGCCTATGGGGACGCTGACTGACGCCTTCACCCTGCAGCCCCCAATGCTGACACTCGAGGCGGCACGCGGCAGCTACTTGGGTCCAAATGACAACATTTATGTGCTGGTCATGTGCCACCCACATGACACTCACATGACATGCAAGTGATGCTCACTTGCCAGTAGGTGACCCACGTGACTCGATGGTGACATGGCTTTCCTGGGATGTCATCATGGCTGACTGCCAAAGGGTAACTGGCATGGTATTGTGGACACACAATGTGCCCATGACCTCCACATAGTGTGGATGTCCAGGGACCACCTGGTGTCCAGGGGATGTTCCCATGAATCTGGTGGATAGCTGGCATCTACATGGGGTCCATGTGACTTTGACAGACAGGTGGTGTCCAAGTGACGTCCTCATGAGTGATGTCCACATTACAGCCATGTGGCCATTAGGTGGCACACACAGAGGGCCCCTTGCCTACGTGGTGTCCCTGTTACGGTCACGTGGTGTCCAGTCAGAACCAACTTGAACTCATTTACTGTGGTCTGAACCTTCCAGATACGGTTTGAACTAGCCATAACTGGCCATAATGCACTTGCACTGGCTTCATCCTCTCGGATGTGGTTTGGGGCTGCTTCGCTCACCGAGAGCCACCCAAAGCCATGTCAGAATGGGCGAGAGCCGTTTCAGTCGCTTTTACCTGTTCAGTTCAGTTTGAGCCAGTCAGAAGCCGTATAAAGTCCTTTTTGCTGTTCAACAGCAGTTTGAATCGGTTAGAACTGGCTTGAACCAGTCGCCGCCATTTCAGAATATGCACGAACTCATTTTATGGAGTCAGACTGGCTTTAATCAGTTTTATGCATTTGGGAACTGACCAGAATCGTTCTGAACTAGTTTTAACTGGTTAGAATCGATTTGAAAAGTTCACAGCCGTGGCCCTCCCTGGTGG